GTTCTTTGTAGAGGAAAGAAATTATGGGAGAGCCTTACTGCACTGACGAAGTGGGTCTTTGCCCATGAAAGCTTATGCTCCTACACTTCAGTTAGTCTATAAGGTGCCACAGGACTCCTCGCCGCTTTCTGCAGATCCTTACTGCTCTGTAATCACAAGCTCTCCATATCACGGCACCTTCAGCAAAGGGGCATCAATAAACTTGAAACTAGAGAATTAACATGGCAACATTTTAATTAACAATGGAATCGCCGGCCAAGCAAGGTCAGTTTCCATATGAGGTTGAAGGACAGGGCAGGTATGACACAAATAAGTTCAATGTAAAGGTCACTTGCATCAATTGGATGTTCTGACTAATCATTTGCAGCCCGATCATCTGTGATTAATGTTTAATTAATAACCATAATAAATAATAAGAAGGAACTGTGCAGGTTAGCTTTCAACCAGTGAAATTATTCCATGTTCTGTGCAACCTTTGACACACAAGACCATAAATATGTTCTTTTTTATACCCCCCTCAACATGGGACTTGGAGGTTGTAAGTGACAGGGTGGGGCTTGGGAGAGACAAGTTTAAAGGCAGATCAGTTTTTACTCCTATGGCAAGGTTTGAAACATGCCCTTTGGAAGGAGATCCGGGCTGCCAAAGGAATTCTCCCACAGGCAAGCATAGGTGGGGATTGACGGTTGCGTTTGTCTGATCAAGTGAGCTTAAATAGCTTCCTCACATTCAACTCAAATTGAGAAAATTCAGGGGCTTGAATCAGCAAACAGCCTCTATCTTTGGGAAAATAAGGATCAGTGGGAGGAGGCAGAACTAACACTGGTGATTTGTCTGTAAGGCTAATTAGGAAGATGTCTAGTGTTGGCTTTGCAGAATCTAAAACACGAAGGTCATTAAAATGAAGGCTGGTACAAAGAGACAGAAAATCATATAAGGCTACCACTTCCCAACATCTATATTTGCTGTCTCTGAAATCATAGTAAAACGTGCTACCTGCTCCTTATTTATGATCTCCAAAAGGGTGCATTGAATTTGAACCATTTAATTCATTCCCTATTTGTTAGCACGTCAAGGCCCGGATCCAAAACCTCTGGCAATTAATGGAAAGATGGCCATTGTCTTTCTATGTACTTTCCTCCTGACTCCAAGTTGGCTAAAAAGGAGAAGAACATTGGGGGTGCATCTAGACTTGCCAGCTGTCTACACTGGCCGCTTGAATTTGTGCAAGAGCACTGACGTTCTAATGTAAGAATTCAGTGCTTCTTGCACAAATACTTTGACGCTCCCACTCAGGGATAAGCCCTCTTGCACAAGAGGGCTAGTGTAGACAGGCACCTTATTTTTTTGCGCAAGAAAGCCCGATGGCTAAAATGGCCATCGGAGCTTTCTTGCGCAAAAGCGTGTCTATACTGGGCACGGATGCTTTTGCGCAAAAGCACTTTTTGCACAAAAGCATCTGTGCCAATCTAGATTCTCTTTTGCGGAAATACTTTTAACAGAAAAACTTTTCCGTTAAAAGTATTTCCGCAAAATCATGCCAGTCTAGACGCAGTCTGGGAGAAATACTCAAGGAGTGAAAGCCTTCTAAGTTTTCCTTAGTTCTCAGAGCAATGTTTCAAGGCACCAAAATAAAACAGGAGCCAAACTGCAAACTGACATGTTTAATAAATGAAGGTAAGAACTGCAGCCTGAAGAAACTGTTTAATAACAACATCAAATTATGATCAGCCATGGATCATTTTTATTCACGAACACATGAAGCAAGCATAAATTCCCATCATATGGTGGAAAATATCACCTCCGCCTCCTAAGAGTATCAATTTTTGCATTCAGCAAAATACGGTGCACCAAGGTTACATGGATGATTAGACACCTAGGGTATGTCTACACTTGAAGCTGGGGGTGTGATTCCCAGCTTGCAATGATGTTCTCATGCTAGCTGTCATCAGCTTAGCACCCTAACAATAGCAGTGGAACGGTGACATCACAGGCAGTAGTGAATGGTGGCAGCAAAACAAGCCTGCTTGGCCAGCATCATGCTTCCACTTGCCCATGCCCTTGCTAACTCAGCTATGTTTCATTGCACCAACTCAATGACAACTTGTGCAA